AGGTGAGAGTAAACGTATAACATGATGTGAAGCTCAAAAACCCTTTTAAGCAAGAGACACTTGGCTGAAAACCATTTGAAATCAAACTAAAACAGAAAACTGTTCAAAGTGCCTTAAACAAAATTACAAATAAAATAGAATAAAGGAGCAAATGAAACCAATAACCAGTAAAATAAAGCAGTGGCATCACAGAACAGTGTGAAGATTTGTGAACTTTGAATCAAAGGGCATAAAAATTAGCTTAAATTTAAACTAATTAAGATTAGAATAAGACTCAGTAAAGAACAGCTTCTCTGTATTCAACCAGCTTTGCTAAAACATTATTTTAATTATTTTCTGAATTAAAAGTCAATAACCCTTTAGATAATTGATTCTTAATGCTGTGTTACCTAGCAACCACATAAAGAGAGACTGTGACTTTATCGGACAGGTTTTAATGGAAATAATATCCCACAGAACAGGTAATGATTGGGACTTGATCTGTTTGATAAAGTTTATCATTCCTTTTACCTTCCATATTGTAAATACTGACATTCTGACTGTAACTGAGGCTCCTTGAATTTCTCAATCATATACATTCATGTTAAACAGCCATTTAGAGTTAAACAGTTATTTATTAAAGTTCAACAATTGATCTTCATGTAATTGTTTCCAGATTAAAAGTGAACTTCTGGTCAGCATGTCGGTGAGGAGCTGCTGGTTCTTCAGGAACATCTTGATGGACTTGCAGTCCGTTCAGTGGGTCACGGTGCGGCTGGAAGGTCCCTTTAGTGCAGATTTTACCTCAAGTCAGACTCTGAAAGAAAACATCAGACATGCTGCTTGGTCACAGAATCACTTCATGATTTTAAATGAACAGCATTAGAACACATTTTCAGATTTTTCAAACTTTACTGGAAAACACAGAGGAGTGAAATGTTTCAGTTTCAGGAGCAGCAGGTCGCTTAATAATCTGCTCTCTGCTGCTTTCAAATTTCTTATTTCTCTTTAATATTAAAATGATGTTTCAACAAGTTTAAAGAGGAAAAAGCAGAAAACTCACCATCACTGAGAGAAGCATTTGAAGCTTGAACTGCCTGCTGAGGAAAGACAACTGCAGCAATAAAAACAATATTAATTTCTGACAAAAACCATCTCAACAGGAAAAATACATTCTGCAGGTTTTATACCATGAAGTTCTGTTTTCCTTATCGAACACCATTTCCCAGCAGCCTTTGTTCAGTCATGTGACCAAATGGTGTTGAGGTCTTTCCTGCCATCATGTCTGCTTGGTGAACTGCCTGCCTGCCTGCCTGGACATGAGCAGGTCCATCTGGACCTCGGCCTCATCCATCTCAGCCGACCTCAGAGGCGTTTTTCTATCTTAGTGGAAACTTGGCACTGATGCTCCTCCCTGTTGGTCAGGGAGCTTCATGCTTTACCTGCAGGCTTGTTGCACCAGGTGTTGTGCTGCTGCTGCAGGCTGCTGCAGGGCGTCTGTGAACAGACTGACCCATTAAACCTGCCTGATCTGGTGCAGCCTGCAGCCATCATGACGGGGTCTCTGCTGGCTTTAGGAGCATCAGATCTCCACCTTTCACTTCCTGGACTGTCAGACTCCAGTTGATGCTGAACATTTCTAAACACTTCAAGCAAATTTACAAACTGTCAGCTTTGAACTGACAGATTTCTGTGAAACATCCCAACAGCTTTAGTGCCGAATAGGAAAACTATAATCAGATAAAAAGTAAAAACTTTGTAGTTGTGACTGAAGCACAGCCAGCTGCACATCACTGAACAAAGATAGGTGGGAATATTTTACTCTTAGTGGATGAAACTT